TGTGTTTGCAGAGTGTTGAGCAACTGTGAGTGGGCTGAGAATGAAAGAATGAAAGTCCTCTCCATGGTAGTGTACATTGGGGGAGCTACATTTTCAGCTACCGGTCTTCTGAGACATAGACCCGAAGCTCATATGAGTACATGGCATTGCAAACAAAGGCTCTAAGGAAGGACTGAAGTGGGAATAATCACTGTCATAACTCATCCAGCACCATAGCGTGGTGTTTTCTCCCGTTGAGAATCTTGCTCTGAGAGAGAACAGTGTGGAAAAATGAGAGGGTTACACAGTGTGTTTCCACCCTTCAGCCCTCAATGTATGCTCCTGAGCAGAATCTGGGAGGGAGGAAGAAAGGCAAACAGGACATAAAGAATGCTCTATTTTTATTTTGCAAAGACACATTCTTTATGTCACACAGTGACATAAAGCGTTCAGAGATCAACTTGGAGTTGTCAAGGGAGACAGGATTCATCCATTCTGTCTTTAATCAGGACTTCAATGGCGCGTTCCCCACCCCTAATACACATGATGAAAATGCCCTTATCGAAAGTTAACCTTCTAACAGGGGTAAGATGACATCTCTCTGCATTTCTCTGCATTTCTCTGTTGACTTAGGATGTTGAACATGAAAAAAATGTTTCTCAGCATTTTTATTTCAATTTTGAGAACTTCATGTTTAGTTCCATGCCACAATTTTAAATTGGGTTGTTGTTTTCTTGGTGTTAAGTTTTTTTGGGTTCTTTGCCTGTTCTAGATAGTGACTCCCTGTCAGAAACAGAGCTGGTAAAGACTTTTTCTCATTTGGTAAGCTAACAGTGTCCTTTTCTTGTCAGAAACTTTTTAGTTACCTTAGGTCCCATTTATCAGTTGTTGGTCTTAATGTGTCCACTGCCAGGGTCTTGTTTAGGAAGTTCTTTCCTGTACCAATGAGTTCAAGAGTATCTACTGCTTTCTTCCATTTTAATTAGGATTGGGGTTCCAGGTCTTAGACTGAGGTTCTTGGCCCATATGGAGTTGAATTTTGTGGAGGGTGGATATAAAGATCTAGTTTCATTTTCCTACAGTTATCCAGTTTGACCAGCACCATTTGTTGAAGGCTCTGTCTTTTCTTCATTGTGTGCTGTTGGCTTCTTTGAAAAAAAATAAGGTGGCTGTAGAAGTGTATGATTATATGTGGGTTTGCAATTCTATTCCATTGATCAGTGTGTCCATTTTTTGAGACAAGCTTTCTTTGTGTAGCTGTGGCTGTCCTGGAAGTTGCTCTATATAACAGGCTGGCCTTGAACTCACAGAAATCCCCATGCCTCTGCCTCCTGAGCGCTGGGATTAAAGGTGTGAGCATCTATGCCTGACTACGTGTCCATTTTTATGCCATCACCATGCTGTCTTAATTACTTCAGCTCTGTAACTTGAAATCTAGGAAGGTGAAATTTTCATTAGCTTTGTTGTTCAGGGCTGTTTTGGCCATCCTGGGCTTTGGGGCTTCCATATTAAATTCAAGATTATTTTGTTTAATTGCGGTAAAGAGTTGCTTTCGAATTTTGATGGGGATTGCATTGACTCTGTAGGTTACTTTTGGTGGGATGATCATTTTCTCAATAGTAATTCTACTGATCTGTAATTGTGGAACGCCTTTCCTTCTTCTGGTATTTTCTTCAATCACTTTTTTTGCAGTGTGCTGTATGACATACTGTTACTTTTCCTGGGGCAACACAACATAGACATACCTACTCATCCCAGAAAGGAGCCTGTGACAGACTAAAGCAATGACGGCAGTAATGCCCAATCTGGTGAACCATATGATGTCTCAATCACTCTTCAACTGCTGTGAAGAGACACCATGACCATGGCAACTCTTACAAAAGCAAGCATTTAACTGGGGACTTGCTTATGGTTCCATTGTCATCATGTCAGGGAGCATGGTAGCTGCCATGTCAGGCATGGTGCTGAAGAAATAGTTGAGAGATGCAACGTGATGGGCAGACAGAGCCATAGCCTGGCCTTGGCATGGCCTTTTGAAACCTCCAAGTCTACAATCAGTGACACATTTGCTCCAACAAGGCCACACCTCCTAATCCTTCTAGTCTTCTCAAAGAGTTCCACTCCCTGGTGCCTGAGCATTCAAACACGTGACCCTGTGGGAGCCATTCTTATCCAAACCACCACATTCTACTCCCCTGCCCCCATAGGCTTGCAGCCGTGTCATAATGAAGAAATACATTCATTCAGTCTAACTTCAAAAGTCCCCATCATTTATCAGTCTCAGCAATGTTTAAAAGTCCAAGGTCCAAAGTCTCTGAGACTCATGGCAATACTTTCAAAGATTTATTTATTTGTTATGTATACAGTGTTCTGCATGCAGAAGAGGGCATCAGATCTCATTACAGATGGTTGTGAGTCACCATGTGGTTGCTGGGAATTGGACACAGGACCTCTGGAAGAACAGTTAGTGCTCTTAACCTCTGAGTCATCTTTCCAGTCCTCATTACAATTTCCTAACTGTAACCCTCTGTAAAATCAAAATCAAAAAGCAGATTGCATACTTCAAACACCCAATGGCACAGGATATACGTCACCATTTCAAAAGGGAGGGAAGGGAGCATAGTGAGGACATACTGGACCAAAGCAAGACCTAAAACCAGCAGGACAAACTGCCATGTCTGATGTCAAAGGGCTCTTCAGACGTCCAATTCCTTTCACTGCAACACACTTCTCAATCTTGGGCTGGTTCCACACCCAGTATGTAGCTCCTCTTGGCAGGCATCCTACAGCTCTGGCATCTCCAACATCTTGGAGTCTTCAATGAAATCCAGGCTTCACTTTCATAGCTTCACAAAATGTTCTGTCTGGGCCTTCATATTGAGACAGCCCTGACACATTCCTGAACTTAGTGGCTTTCCTTAGCTGAGGAGGGAGATTCCATAATCCCTTCTTTCTACCATTGGCTCTAAAGCCAAACCACTTTGGGCAAACTCAGTGGCCCAAACTACCAAATTCTGCTGCTTACTGGGGCTGGAACATGGCCCTGTTCTTTAATTACATTTGCACCAAGTTTTGTTGGTGATGATTGCACTGACTAGTTTTATCTCAACTTGACAAAAGTTAGAGTTATTTGAAAGAAGGAAGCCTCAATTGAGAAAATGCCTCCATAAGATAGAGCTATAGGGCATTTTCTTAATTAGTGATTCTTCCCCCGTGAAACAGCTTGCGCTGGGCCCCCACAGGTCAAACCACCCTCATCACTGTCTTCCATGCTCCTAGAAGGATGGTCCATTAAGCCCTACTTAAAGCTTCCAACCACTTTCTAGTCTAATAGTTCCACAACAAATAGCAGAGTCAGGGCTGTCATGGCAATACCCCAGTCCCTGGTACCAAATTTTGTTAGTCATGGTTTCATTGCTCTGAAGAGAAACCATGCCCACAGCAACTCTTATAAAAGAAAGCATTTAACTGGGGACTGGCTTACAGTTTCAGAGGTTTAGTTCATTATCCTCATGGCGGGGAGCTTGGCAGCACTTACGCCATTGGAGTAGTTGAGAACTACATCCTAATCCACAGACAAAGACAGAGAGACAGACATAGAGAGACAGACAGAGAGAAACAGAGGCAGACAGAGACACAGAGACAGAGAGAGACTGACACAGAGAGACACAAAGACAGAGAGACAGACAGAGACACAGAGAGATTGATCTGGGTGGGGTATGGGCTCTTGAAAACCTTAAAGGCCACGCCGGGTGACACACTTCCTCCAACAAGGCCATGAATCTGAATCCTCTTAATTCTTTCAAAGAGTTCTGCTCTTTGATGACTAAGCTTTCAAATATATGAGCCTGTAGAAGGGTATTCTTTTTATTTTATTAGTTCAAATTAGGAACAAGCTTGCTTCAGATGTCAATCCCTTCTCCCTCCCCTCCCCCCCAACATCCCACCTGCCCTTAGCCATCCCCCCCCCTCTATTCCCCAGGCCGGGCGTTGTTGGCGCACGCCTTTAATCCCAGCACTCGGGAGGCAGAGGCAGGCGGATCTCTGTGAGTTCGAGACCAGCCTGGTCTACAAGAGCTTAGTTCCAGGACAGCCTCCAAAGCCACAGAGAAACTGTCTCGAAAAAACAAAACAAACAAACAAACAAAAAAATGGTGCCAGGTACCACAAGGGTAACAGAACTGTGCTGTTTTTCTGGGATTTTGGTTTTTACTTTTTTTTTTTATGGAGTGTGCTGGATGTCTCTACAATTTTGTTCAAATGCCTGCAGAACCTGGAAAAACTGTTGCTGCTGTTGATGCATAACATACTGCCATTATTGGTCTTTTTATATAAATATAAATATATATATACATATATAATTTGAATTTTTGGAAACTAACTGTGTTGTCAACTTTGGAAAAAAGTATTCCAGTTTACCATGTTGAGTTGGCATTGTACAAAAATTAACAGCCATATTGGTCTAGAAATGTTGAACTTATTTTTTTTCCATTTGTACAGAGGGAACGCACTGTATTAAATATGTAAGGTCTTTAAAAAAAAAAAAGAAGGGATTTTGAGAGCCCATCCCTTGTGAAGGGATGCTCTCTTGACCTGGACACATGGGGTAGGGCCTAGGCCTGGCCTAGGATGATCCGCCTGCCTCTGCCTCCCGAGAGCTGGGATTAAAGGCATGCGCCAACAATGCCCGGCTCACCATTTTTTTTTTTTTTAAATTAGCTTCTCAATCATCATCTGGAAGGAAACCATTCTGAGCAACATCATTAAAAACAGCTCTGATAAAGCATGGTCACTACTATGTATCATAAAGCAGGCCCACATATGAGTGAGTACATATCATGTTTGTCTTTTTGTGATTGGGTTACCTCGCTCAGAATGGTTTCTTCGAGTTCCATCCGTTTTCCTGCAAATTTCAAGATTCCATTGTTTTTTTTCTGCTGAGTAGTACTCCATTGTGTAAATGTACCGCATTTTCTGTATCCATTCTTCTGTTGAGGGGCATCTAGGCTGCTTCCAGTTTCTAAAAACAGTGGTTAGATGCCACGAAGTAGGTGGCAATGCCTTACCTGTGTGTGTGTGTTAGGCCCACGGGCCTCTTCCATCCTTGTCAAGGGGAATGCTAACCTCTCCTTTCATACAACACGAGGGTATTCTTATTTAAACCACCACACATGAGTTTTTTATTTGAGTTACTAACAGGAAGAGGTGAGGGTTACTTACAGGAAGCAGGAATAGCTCAAAAGTAGCTATATCTCCAGAAAGGCTACCCCCATTGGTGACAACTCCTGAAAAAACTATATCCCTCAAGCTCTCTACACCACCGGCAGGCATGGTTTTAACATCTTTGCTTTCCACAACTGGTGGAGTGTCCACCCCTGGAAATTGTTTATTCCTTTTATACTGTTGGGTAGGGGCCTCAAAACGCTTTTAAGTTTTTAATCTCTTGGATATGTGACCTTTTGTTTCCCTCCTGAGCTCCCGAGCCTTCCCTTCTGTACTGGAAGGAATGCTTCAATTTGGAGAAGAAAAATGTCATGTAATACACTATCTTCAAGTTTTTGTTGTACATGTCTTTCATATTTTTGGTTAGATTTGTTCATATATATCACACACACATGAAATGTGTAGGTAACATTCCTTCCAAATTGTTATGAGCCTACAGGTTGTCCTCACTAACTGTAGTCAGGTGGTCATATAGAACAATCAGTCAGGCGCCTCTTCTACCCAAAACCCTGCAATGAGTTACAGTTTTATACAGAGTGAAAGCTAAAGTCTTAGCAATGACCCTCAGTCCTCTACCTGGTCTGGCATCTGGTGCTCATCCTTGATTTCTTCTGTTGCTCCAGTCATACTTAGCTGCTCTTCCCTGATCACACAGTGCTTCTCTACCCTATGAGTCTGTTTCTTTTCCTTGCTGATCTTATTAACCAGGAATAATCTTTCCTGAGGTATCTATGGCATGAGCTCCTTCTTCCATGTCAGACCCTGGCTTAAATGTCATTGCTGAGGGGCTGGAGAGATGGCTCAGTGGTTAAGAGCACTGCCTGTTCTTCCAAAGGTCCTGAGTTCAATTCCCAGCAACCACAAGGTGGCTCATGACCATCTGTAATGAGATTTGGTGCTCTCTTCTGGCCTGCAGGCATACATGCAGATTGAACACTCAGGCAGATCTCTGTGAGTTCAAAGCCAGCCCACTCTCCAGAGGATCCAAAGCTACACAGAGAGAAAAACCAAGTCATTGCTGCATAGCATAATCCTTAAAGCTGTGTCTCATCGGTCAGTCTTTCCTGTTCCCCAGCTCCCTGTTCTGGGTCTTCTGACTCTTCTCTAGTCTTCATAGCTCCCACAATTATCATTTGCATTGTATGTTTACATTATAAACATACTTCTTATGTTTGCCATCAGAAGGTAAGACCACAAAAGTAGCTGTTCCTATGCTTTCATTGTTGTCCTAAACACTAAGTAAGGGTGTGCTCAGCCACTTTCAACACTCAAGACTAGGGCTCTGTACTAGTCATTATGACATGGTGGACAAATGCTGGGAGACCTCTATTAGTCCTTCAGGAGGCAGACCAACAATTGGCCATCTGTCTGTTGTCATCATCCAGCCCTTCTTCCTTGCCTATAATACGAGAAACCATTTATTAGTTGTCCAATGTAACTACTGAATACACAAATACACTGAGAAATGATCTTTGTTTAGGAAAAAAGAAATGAACATATCAAAACAACAGAAAAGCAAAATGCCTCAATTTTCCTGGAAATGCTATGCTGTAAGGGGTATATTTTGCTTGAATAGAAAGAACCTTTGAATATTCAGGCAGACTGTGTTTATTTATTTTGATATTTTTATGAGTGCCGATGGCCTGCTTACAGGCTTGACTTGCTATGCTTGATAAAACAGAAGAACCGAACCTAAACTAAGAGGAATAAGCCAAATCACTAACATAGATTGAGGCAAGCAATCACTGCGGTATCACTCAATAGGCATATTGGCTAAACGTGTGTAGGTACTATGAACAAGAAACCCTGAGCAGAGGGACTAACTACATGAGGAAACACATCTAACCACTTAAATGCTTTATATTTTCAAATTTTGTTGTCTCCTGGTAGTCTGGGGAAGCTGTTCTCAACCTGTGGGTCATGGCTCCCTGGAGGGGGTCTTGGTAGTCTGGGGAAGCTGTTCTCAACCTGTGGGTCATGGCTCCCTGGAGGGTGTCAAACAACCCTGTCACAGGGGTTGCCTGAGCTCATCAGAAAACACAGGTATTAGCTGGGCATGGCGGCTCATGCCTTTAGTCACAGCACTTGAGAGGCAGAGGCAGGTGGACTTCTGAGTTTGAGCCCAGCCTGGTCTACAGAGTGAGTTTTGGGACAGCCAGGGGCACACAGAGAAACCCTGTCTTAAAAATCAAAAAACAAACAAAAAGAGAATATTAAAAAAAATAAGAAAACAGGTATTATAGGGAGAAACCCTGATTATAGTTATCGATGACCACACCCACTTGGGCGTGGTCACAGTCGCATAACAAGGGTTTAAGAAGGAGGGAGGAGAGCACATGGCTCTCTCTTGCTTGGCTGAGCTGACTGGGAGGCATTTCTGGGCCTGTCCTGCTCAGGTGAAAACCTGGTCACTGGTTCCCTTGTGTGAGTATTTCCCCTAATAAACTGCCGGTTATCAACCTATATCTGACTCCACGTTGTAATCATCAATAAGGTATTTGCATTATGATTTATGACAGTAGCAAATTGTTATGTTACAAAGTATTGATGAAAATAATTTTATGGCTGGGGGTCACCACAACATGAGGAACTGTATTAAAGCTTTGCAAAGTAGGAAGGTTGAGAACCACTGCTCTAGGAGATCTTGGTTCCAAATTCTGCACAACTGGAGAACTGGGCAGCCTTTCCTTGTCTGTAAAGAATCTTAGGGAATCCAGAGTCCTTAAGAGTTGATACAGAAACTTTCTGTTTCTATCATTTTCTCCAGCTTCTTCCCACCTTTTTTGTCCTCAGTTTAAATTCATTACCACAGCAGGGACGCTGAGTCAGATTAAGAGTAGGTGTACCGTATTGCTTTCCTGGTACAAGTGATGTGCTTGAAGCAGTACAGCAGGTTTTAAGTGACAAAATGTCCTTCAGTTAGCTTCTCAACCTTGTGCTCAGTAAACCTTCACTTCATTCAGGGCTCTTTCCTGCTTCCTAGCTGCCCTGATTTCTGATCATCCCCTGAAAATGCTTTATTGTGTGTGTCTCTGTGTCGAGCTGACAGAGTCCTTTTTAACTTTAACCTAATGTCCCCCACATCCTCTTCTACCTATTTCTTTCCTCTTTGGGTTTTGGAGGATTCTAGTTCTGAATAGTTTAGAAGCCCAAACTTGAGTTTAAAGATGAAAAAAAAAATGAAGGAAATTATTCAGTTTCTCTCAAACAAAGCCCTGAGATTTCCATAATTAAAACTAGGAAGAATAGAGAACAATGGCCTCAGACTTGAAATGACGTCATTTAATGGGACGATTAGAAGTGAAGCTGTCAAGAGTCATTGTGATTGACGACTCTTCAGGATGTGAGGTGGTTGGTCATGGCTCTCTGTTAGGATGGTGGCCAGGAGAACGGGTTTATTCAAAGAAATAGTTTCCTCCCTGGGATTTAAAACATAGTTTTAAACAATAAATACACACATGTATGTGTCTCCATTTATAAATTCATATATACAAATCCATAACTATAACATGCATGCTGACATGTAAGTATTGGTACATATATGCTTATGACCTGTCAAATTATTAACAAAAATGAGAGGCTTAAAGAGACATGTGCGTGAAGGCTTTAATACAATGTCCTTACTTTTCTCTAGGCTCTGCTTTGTCTATTGGGAATCCGAAATGCTATTGATGCTGTAAGAATCTAGGGCATATTCATCTGAAAAAGAAGAAGAGCATTTGTCTTTATCAAATCTCCAGCTGTGTGTAACTAAACTGTGATAGGCCATATACAAAGACATTAAACCTTATCTTTCCAATAGTTTTTCAACAGAAGTAATCACTCATGCATTTTTATCAATTCTTAACTATTCTACTAAAGCATGTCATGCAATGGAATGCATTAAATTAGTAAGGACAGACCATGTTCATCTACTCCTTGACAGGTTTTCCATGCTCACCTGCCAGGGGATGTGTCATGGTCGCCACAACACACTAAGTGTTCTGAAGCATAATCCATTATATTTTTCCTGTAAGGGATTTCTCTTCCATTCTTAAGTCAAAACCATAGAAGCAGCAATAGTAAATCTTTGATTTGGTCATGACAACAATGAAAAAGGCTTGGAAGGTTAGCATCATTTATATTTCAAGGGTGAGTGTTTTCACAATTCATCCAAGAGATTCTATGTTTTAGGTAGGATACCTTGGGAACAGGTACAGTCAGTATAAAAAAGAAAGTTATATAATACAAAACCGTCATCACTTGTTTACTTTTTGAAGACAGAGTCATGATTTGTGGGAATGCAGTGATTCAGAGAGTGTGAGCTACAGACATGTTCAACGGCTGTGACATGGTTGCTTACCTTTTTCGTAACTGTAGACCTTGACTGGGGCTGGCTGGATGTTGGACACAATGTTGGTTTGCTCAATAGAGAAGGTGAAGCTGGTTGGTGCCCTGGAAACCTATAAAGACACGAATGGCAAACAAGTCCTAGTAGGTCTGAAAAAAGAAAATCCTGGGAAACTTACTCCACATGCTCATGATCTGCCTGCTTAAAACTGAAACCCCATCACTATCTTATATAATAGCAAAATAACCAGACATTTGACAGTAAATCATGTAAACATTTAAACACTGCTTAGTTGAACATGGTAGAGAATTTTTTGGTTTGTGAGAGTGGGAATAATGGGTTCATGGAAAGGATGGCCCTAAATTCACATCGCAGTTTGGAGTGCCCCACCCCCCAAAATCAAAATAGAACTACTATATGATTCAGAAAGCCTACTTGTAAGGATGATTCCAAGATAAATTAGATTATTATCTTGAAAAGGCATTGCCATGCTCACAATTGCCATGGTGCAGAAATAACTCAAAATAACCCATGTCTGTCTACCAATAGATTGATTGAAGGATATGGAAACTGTGGTATGCACACAATAGGAAATTACTCAACATTTTAGAAGGACACTTTTCTCTATTGACAATGGAAGTCTGCTAGGACTAGGAGAGACAGTTTTCCTCAGATGTGCGGTCTCTGGTAGGTTGACCAAGCCACCTTGGATGACGGTTCCATACTCGTGTGTATATGGGTAACAATAATTAGACCCAGTGGGTTATTAAAGAAAGAGGACACAAAGTTGGGAGGGAGTGTGTGTGTGTGTGTGTGTGTGTGTGTAGGGGGATGGTTCCTGGGAGGAGGTGCAGGAAATAGTGACTATGATCTTGTATATGTTATGGAAACTCAGTAAGAATAAACTTTAAATTTTAAATATTACACTAAGAAGGTAATTATATGAAAAGAGGGTTGTTTGTTTATAACAATTAACCTACAATGCAAATGCATATCAAAATGTCACAGTATACACTTTAAATATACACAGTTTAAACAATAAAAAATCATGTCACCCTTCATTGGAGTTCAAGCTGTAGGATAATTATTCATCTCTGTAAATGACTACACTACATTCTGTAAGGGATAAAGATACCTCTAAATGCGAGAATTATCTAGTCAGACAACTATGACTTACACGAAATAATTTGTTAATACAAAGGATATCATTAGTGAGGCAGAACACTTGACTATATTCAATGTCTCATTAAAACAATAGGCTCTTTCACATACTTCTATAGTAAATAGAAGCTTTCAGCTGGGCGTTGGTGGCACACATCTTTTATCCCAGCACTTGGGAGGCAGAGGCAGGCAGATCTTTGTGAGTTTGAGGCTAGCCTGGTCTACAGAGCGAGTTCCAGGACAGGCTCCAAAGCAATACAGAGAAACCCTGTCTCGAAAAATCAGAAAAAAACAAAACCAAACAAACAAAACACAAAGAAAAACAAAGCCATAAATAGAATCAAACACCCTTCAGAAGACAAAGCCATGAAATAAAACTCAAAAACAAAGCATTAAAGAAAAAAAATCTATTGTTGAACTTACATTTTTCAAGTAGAAAAGAATGTGGCCATTCTTTGTGTCTGTCTTCATCACTGGGCCATTGTGTTTAAGCTTTGAAGAGATTGACAGGAAGCAGGGAGGATCAGGCATTAGAATAACCAAGAGTCCTCCTCCAGAAATGAGCCCCACACCTTCT